GACACTTCTCCCTGCCAGTGTGCACCCAGTCGGCGGTGCACCAGGAGCGGCTGGACGGCCCCGGACGACGCCAGGGGACGGTGCGGCCTTGCCACATCACATGGCCGCTCATAAGCCCGACAGCAACAGCAGAGCAAATAAACAGCGCGGTCCGGCCGACCCCACGGCGCACCCGTAGTATATTCACCGCTAGCGCCGTGTCAAAACACCGCTTTGAAGCAGCGCGCCGCCACAACAGCGCGGCGCGAGACCTGCGGCGCTCAGACACATCGCCGGGACGCCACATTTGTCTTTGGGCAGAGCCGCGCGCCGGGCCGTCGCCTACGCCGCCAGCATCCGGCGGGGTCTGGCCGTGGGGTCGGCCCCCTGGCGGGCGCCGGCCGAACTGGCGGCGCGCCAGCGCGGTCGGCCTGACGACACCGGGCCGGCGCCGGCCGGCTCCAGCCGGGGCAGGGCCGGCCGGCGCCACGCTCGGCGGGCGCTACTCACCCCCGGTGAGTTACCTGGGGTGCCAGCGCGCCGCGGGTCACACACACCGCGTGGGCGCGGACACCGGACAGCATCCGGCGGCTGTGGGTGAGGCGGGACGGTAGGCGCCCTGCCCGCATCGGTGCGCCCCGCCCAGCTGCAGGACAGGGCGCCACCACGCGCGGCGCCCGTCTCCCGGGGACGGTGTCTCCTGAGGTGCGGCGCCTCTCCTCTGGAGGAGCCGCGGCTCGGATCCGGGCCAGGTGGTGCGCCACCATCGCCAGGCCATCGGCCGGGGGCGGAGAGGAGGGGCTGGCGGTCGGGCCTGAACAGTGCACATGGCCGCCGCCAACAGCCGCACAGGGCCCCGGAATGAATAGGCAGGCCTGCACAAAACCGCTCAGCAACCGCCCATTGTGCCGACTAACGGTCCAGGGAAACGAACGAGCAACTGCAACCCAACAGGCAACACCATAGTCTCGCTCGGTTTGGATGATTAGAGACCGCACTTTCCTCTCCGGAGTGTGTTGGAAGCCGAACATTTCCCAACAGACAAAGCGCCCGATGCAGCTCACGCCAACCAGGCTCCACACCCGATGCATTTCAGCGTTGGCGCAAGTCATTCGGACTGGTGCTGTGCTTGTTGTGCTTGAAAGACGTTAAAAGGCTTCTCGTTTTTCGGCACTTTGAGTTTCCACTCTAATTATACAAACGCGTAGCCAAAGTTTTCTTCGGGAGGGGGTAGTGGTTAAATTTTCTCCTAAATCCAGCGGATTGGGACCAAGTTCTTGAGAAATCCCCCAGCATCTAGTGTAAAACTCTTGGATCAAGAGGGCGATGGGTACGAATCCCCTGGCCGTCCCCGTAGTGATAACCTGCCTTTGGTGCGTAAGAAGGGCCTCCTGGTAAACTGAATGTAGGCTATTTTCAGCATGCACTTGACGCGACCCCGACGGAGATGTGTCAGGGCCATGTCTAGACCTTGCACGCAGGCTGGGAAATTCTGATCTTCAGCAAGCGCTCGATGTGGCGGCTGGTCGACCTGTCTCTTGTGCGGCTGGGGGCCCTCAATAGAGGGCGGCGTTTTTGACACCCTGACGGTGTCTGTCGCCGGACCCATCCGGCCTCTCGCCGCCCAGAAACGCTCTGGTGTAGTGTGGAGGACGGAGAGGGGAGGACGGAGGCGAGAATGAGGAAAGAAGGACGGATTCTGGCGACGGCCTCTGAACCCTGAATGAAGGCGGCCGGTGCCGGCCGGCCGTCATCCAGCCCGAGCTGCATCACCAGCTGCATCGATCGGCACCCGCCGCTGCCGGCATCGCACGGGACCGGGCGTCGCCACCCCGGCACCGCACCGGGCCGGGCGCCGCCCCCCGCACCGCACCGGGCCGGGCGCCCCGCTGCCAGCATCGCACGGGGCCGGGCGTCGCCACCGCCGGCACCGCACCGGGCCAGGCGCCGCCACCGCCGGCACCGCACCCGGGCCGTCGCGGCCGCCAGCATCGCACCGGGCCGGGCCGGCGCTGCGCAGGTGTCACGGGGCGGAGACAGCCGGCAGTCCCCGATTCTCAGATATGGGTAAGGGGGGAGGGGGCTGAATGAGTCCTTACACAACGCAGATGTCAGACAGCCACACTGAGGCAGGTTACCATGGAGGGCATGCTTGACGCACGTGTCTGTATGGACTCCTTTACGGGGACGTCGAAGAATAAAGGGACGTTCCAAGGAGGTGTGGTCGATGCGAGCAGCTGAGGCACGCGAAGTTCGGTGGGCACGAACAAACTCTCCAGGATGAAACACGGCGCTTCTAAGGCGCACTCGCCTGGCCGTGCGGCGGCCCGCCACGGCCGCCGCTCAGCCTGACGCGGCGCGTGACCGTCGGCCATCACGGGCGGACGGTTCACACAGTGTGGCCACAGAGGGCGGTGCGGGGTGGCCACGGCTGCCGAGACGACACGCAAGCCACGGCCAGCTCCGAGCCGGCTCGGTGCAGACTGGTGGGCCTGATGGACATGAGTCAGCCCGCCTGGCGAGCATCTGAGCCGATGCCGGCTTACGCCCGGCGCCTCCCGACTCCTACAGAGAACACGAACTTGCGAAACTACCGTCCACTTGAAACGGCTAAAAATTCTTGTCTACAGAAAGTGGTGCGCCACAAACGCAGAGCCAACGCCCTGTGCCGAACACTGCACCGATATATATATATATATATATATATATATATATATATATATATTATATCTATCTATCTATCTATCTATCTATCTATCTATCTATCTATCTATATATATATATATATATATATATATATATATTCGGCAACTTACTTAAGCGATATTACGGCTCCCTATTTCCAAACCCTGACGATGTCATGAGGACGGCAGTGCATCGCGGCGAGGGCAACGCCGTGGGACCGTAGGATCTGCCGCAAGTGTCCGGCCCCGCCCCACCCCGCCAGGCCGACGCGTCGCGCCGCGCTGAAGGCCGTCCGGTTGGCCACCGCCCAAGTGGGGCATCCGCCGCCACGCGCACACCCTCCCCTCCCCTCCCACTCCCCCCCCCCCCATTCAGGATCGCCGTGTGCCCTCATAATTCACACGGTCCTCGGGCCGTCTGTTGTGCTATAATCACAGCGTGTCGAGCAAGCCGCACACCCGGGCGGCCCGAGACATAGCCGGGGTCGCCGAGCGGCCATTGAGAGCTAATCGCAGCCCGACGGGACGCGTTTGGGCTGATGAACGGCCGGAAGGGGTGGAACGGCGTACCCCCCCCCCCCCCCTACCCCGCGTGCGAATTTTCCCCGGCGCGGTCGTGGCGGCTACAGCTCCGGCTCGGCCGTGCGCTGCGCGCGCGGGTCAGCGGGGTCTGGTCTGCCCTCCCCCACCTCCACATTCCCCGAGATCGCCATCCAGACATGGACCGTGGCAGGGAAGCCCCGCATTGGCTGTGGGGCTGCGCATCCTGACATAAGCATAGCACAAAAACAAAGAAATAAATTTATGACACAAAGAATAGTGATTACGTAAACTGATGGCTAGTTACCAGGGTATTACAACACACCGATAATCCAGAGAGCTTCGATATGGATGCGTTAGGTACAAGTAAACAAAAGACTACGATCGCAGTCGTGACCTGACGCACAGCCGCCATCTCTCCAAAACTCAAACGTTGCTGCGCGCGTGCCCTATGCTGAGTAGCCACTGGAACATAATAATATAGTTGTTTTCAAGATGGTTATTAAAATCTTGAGGCTTTCCCGAAG